GGGTTAGGTTTAGGGGGGGTTAGGTTTAGGGGTTAATTTTAGGTTTAGCGTTTACAGCGTGCTTCTGTCTCCGCGCTGTTGTCGCCCTGCCCTGTGATGACGTCAGCTACGCAGTTTCGTCGAGCGCGCTTTAGTCGAGCGCGCTTTGTGGTGGAACCGCTGCCCCCTCTCCCAAAATAGAATTTCTAGGCTCTTTGAACTGCGAAAAGCAACCAGAGATGTTAAAGCTATCACTGCGTTTCATATATAACCTTTGCAAAAAGAAAAGAAAAAAGCAATCCCCATTTTATTTATTTTTTATTGTTGCAACAGAACTTAAAAAGTATTCCTGTACAACCATAGACTAAGGAAGCTAAGAAAGCCCAGAGGAGACTTTTTCTTGCACATTCAGGAGTTGGGTTAGGTACAGAGCTGCTCCCATTGACCCTCCCTTTTGTTGGGTCAAAAGGGGACCAGAATAGAAAGCCAACAGAAGAAGAGACTGGGGGTTCAGCCTCTTAAAAGAGATGAAGGTCTATCCATCTTTACTGGAAACATTTAAAGCACAGCAACATTTAAGCCACTGGTTTCGGACAGGATCTCCCCTGCACAACGAGAGGATGTGAGAGCTACAATAAGGCAATACTGTACGGACTCAAAAAAACAGGGGCATCGAAAATCCCGATCACATCCATTGGGCATCACGACAGTATCTTGGACACACAAAGAGTAGACATCTTTCGTTTGAAAAATGCTTTGGAAACGCCGACACAGACCAGGCCAGCCGATTCTGGGGATGGGGGTGGCGTCTCCTCAAGAGGATACCACGCATTTTGCAAATCCGTATCAGCTTTGTTTGCTCAATCTGTGTTGGAGGCAGCACGGGAGAGTCAAAAAAAAAAAAGCAAAGAAAATGGGGCCAAGACAACACACAGATACACACGCAACCCCCCCCCCCCGTACCCCCACCCCGGGGCTGCCTCCAATCACTTGTTTAGAGCTAAGGCGACTTCATGGGACAATAGTGCCATTTTGGGAAGAGGAAGCTTTTGACAGGAATTTCAAAAAGAAAAGAATTTAGTTAACTTTTAGACAGATTCTACACCTAACACAAGTTTTATTTTTTTTTAATCTTTTTCCTCTGCTAGGGGGTTAGACCTCCAAGCCTTCTGCAAGAAAGTTAAACCCAAAGATTTGTTTTCTGGAATTGAAGTTTCTTATTTTTTTTTTTATTTCATTTCATTTCTTCTTCTCACTTAAAGGCCATTGTTGAAGCATTTTACAGTTCTCCTAGTGCAAAAGAACAGGAAAAAAAAGAAAAAGAAGCAGGAACATAAAAGAGAGGGGGGGAAAGATAAAAGAAGAGGAGGAAGAGGGGGATAATACGCTGCCTTTCTTCTCCCAGGCAATCTCCCCAAAACAGAGAAAGAAATGAGAATTGTAGGTATTTTTTTTACGGCAACATATACACATTAAATATAGTTATCGAGTCCATGCAGTGGCGCAGCCATGGTTAAAGAGCTGGAGCCTGTCTTTAGTGCTACAGTCCATGTTCCTCACCAGCCGTGACCCCCACAGGCGCTGGCCTGAACCCCTAGCCGGATTTGAAGAGGAGAATCGCCACTTGGCCCAAGTAGAAGTAAATGAAGTGCTTCGTCTCATGCGTTACGTAGCTACCGAAGTTCCTGCCCACGATGCAGTGCCAGGTGGGGTTGTATTTCTTGTCAAATTCCTGGGGAGTAAGCAAAAGCGGGAAGGAAAGGTGAAAATCAGTGATTTGTTCAGAGAGCATTTTCAAAGTCTTGGCATGTATGGGGAGGAAGGAGCTGACATGAGCATCTGGAAAAAAACGAGGCCTGCCATGTAATACAATACAATACAATAGCAGAGTTGGAAGGGACCTTGGAGGTCTTCTAGTCCAACCCCCTGCCTAGGCAGGAGGCCCTTTATCATTTCAGACAAAATGGCTATCCAACATCTTCTTAAAGACTTCTAGTGTTGGGGCATTCACAACTTCTGGAGGCAACTTCTGTTCCACTGATTAATTGTTCTAACTGTCATGAAATTTCTCCTCAGTTCTAAGTTGCTTCTCTCCCTGATTAGTTTCCACCCATTGCTTCTTGTTCTACACTCAGGTGCCTTGGAGAATAGCTTGACTCCATCTTCTTTGTGGCAAGCCTGAGATATTGGAAGGCTGCTATCATGTCTCCCCTAGTCCTCCTTTTCATTAAACTAGACATGCCCAGTTCCTGCAACCATTCCTCATAAGTTTTAGCCTCCAGTCCCTTAATCTTCTTTGTTGCTCTTCTCTGCACTCTATCTTACCAATAGCTCCAAAGCAGAAGGGCTAATCATACTATTTAGGTCCTGGCACAGGTAGTCCTCGACTTACAACAGTTCATTTAGTGACCGTGCAAAGTAACAATGACACTGAAAAAAGTGACGTACGGCCATTTTTCATAGTTACAACCTTCATAGCATCCCCGTGTTCGTGTGATCAAAATTCAGATGCTTGGCCATTGGTTCCTACTTATGACCATTGCTGTGTCCGAAGGTCATGTGGATCACCTTTTGCAACCTTCTGGCCAGCAAAGTCAATGGGGAAGCCAGATTCACTTAACAACCGG